AAAAAAAAAAAAAAAACAAAGATCAGAAACAAAACGACCACGATTGATTACACCATCTGGACAACAGCTGTAAAACTTTCTTGTAAACTTCGTTAAAGCGGTTCATACAGCATCCAACAGTTTGCGCGACACGCAGGACGGAAAAATTATATTCTTTACAGAAAAAAATTGAATTAGTTACACAACCAAAGTGAGAGGAAGATCAATATACAGGGGATCTATACTGAAATAATACGGAAAATCTATACTGAAATAATAAAAGATAAAATATATATATATATATATGTATATACATTGCTAAGAGATAGAATTGCTAATATAACATGAATAAATATAATTAGTGAAAAATACCAAAATATAATTCGATAACAATAAACTACGTCAGCAAAGTTACAGATCGAAATCTCAGCAAACAGAGATCCGAGAGTGGAGTTTGGATATATGTTTAACTGTTTTGCGACACAGTATATATATAAATTTGCACAGTATATATATAAAGTAGTTTGCGCACATCGTTAAATCGTGTACGAGCCGCTTCACATCAACGCTGGCAAATGGCAGCAGCGATAGCAGCAGCACAGCGACGATTAAATTTTCTTGATGAAGACCCCATTTTCATTTTGGCTATGTATATATTGTGGCCGGTATGTATATTATATTTTTTGTGGGAATTTTCTCTATAAACGTTATACATATACATATAACATATATGTATATATGTGTATATATATATCGTCAGATTTTTTGAATGTCAAAATGATGAAATGTGATAGATGCAGGACAAAAACTGAATATAGTTCACGGTTGCGGTTGCGGCTGTTGGATAGTCGGAAAAAATTCCGTCGGTTGTTGTTAAGATTTAAAACAATGACAAATTCATATTTTTACTCCCCTTATGCATAATCCAAAACTACAGCTAGATGTAAAAAAATCACATTTTAACATAAATAAATAATTACACGAAACTTTTAATCGACAAAAAAAGCTTCAATTTACATGTTTTTTTTAATATAAAATCGTTTTTTTTTTTTAACAAAACACAGACGGAAAGTCTTCGTCAATAATCCAAGATGCAACCTTTAGTGTAATGGTACAAGTATAGTAACGTTAGTAATATTAGCAGTATTAGTGGTGTCAAGTGATATAACGATGTTGTTGTAATCAGTAGTAATCGTAGTAGGGAACGGTAATGGTATATATATATTAAATTGCAATTGTGCAGTGGCAGTTGACTGTCGATCCCCTTATATAATCGAATTTCCTAATCGAAATGATCTTCGTTTAACCCCTGTCATGAGAAAACGGATCATCACCGGCAACGATCATCTCCCGTTCAACCCCTCTCAGGGAAGGTAAAGGTGATTAGGATGAAGATAAAGCGGATTTGAGAGATATATATCTATATGTATATATAAAGAGAGAGAGAGAGAGAGAGATAGAAAGCCCGTGTGACGATTAAAAGCGCGACATTAAACGTTAATCCGCGTCGAAGCAAGTAATTTTAAGCGTGTTAAATGGAACGAAAAGATTAATCGATATTTTGGAGAGTTAGTCCAGAATTGGACGGTTTTATGTAAGAAAAAAAAAAAAAAAACAAGAATCCGATGATTGCCCTTTCTGCGTCTGAGGAACGTTAACGCGTCGGAAGTTTCTATTTTTTCGCCTCGTTTCCACGCTGACGTTCGCGGGAATATTACGGCGGTCTGTGCGAGAGATTCGGAACTGTCGGTAATTGTACGTGCAAATATTTGTCGAGAATTCAGAACACACAC